AATTAGATCCTATATATTTAATTTAAACTTTATTATATATAACGTAAAAAAGTTTAATACAAACAGCCGCTCTGGGTTCTTTATTCAAATCCAAGGGAGCGATGACTGTAAAAGGACTCTTAACGTCTTGATCGAACTTCCAAGGACGATCCAAGGTAGCTTTAATGGTATACCGAACGTGTCCAAAGTCAGATTCGAAGCTGCTTGGCAAGTTTGTCGGTAAAGAACATGTAAATGGAAATTTGTGTTCTCCTGATTGTATTTCAATTTCTCCACCTAAAATAAAAGAACATAAAGGCAATAGAATAGAAATTGAAAGAGAATATTAGAAAATAGAGAATTTGTTTGAACTAGATTTTTATTAAGAATAGAAAGATTTGATTGCATATGACAATCTGATCTTACCCGAGGCCGATCCAACCAAGTAGTATTTCATTTCAAAATATTCTTCGTGCGCCGTAACAGTTTGTGTTTCATCCCGATATTGTCCCCTCTCGTCCATCTCTTGTTTGTCGGTCGTCCAACAAGTATTCGCTCCCCCCTTTATTTTCACACTTATACCTGCGTGGAAGAGATGACAAATGTTATAAATATAGAAAAATATATATATTTCTCCATACCTATCTACACTGAAAAAAAATGTACTAAATCCAAAAAATTTTTTTTTTATTTAGAGGCCTTATTTATTTAAATACTTGCAAAGGAATTAATTATTTCAATCAAGCACCATATATTTGAATTAATAAAACATAAAATAAAAGCAAAGTATGCTTTTATTTGCAAATAAAAAAAAAATTCTTTTTCTCTGTTTATTATACTAAATTTTAATTTCTTCTTATCTTATTTTTTTCATCAATTTGCTCCAAAAACGCAACACAATTTTTATATATATAAATTATTTCACTAATTTCTACTTTATCTGTCTTAATATAAAAAATTTAAGATGCAAACTTAAATTCTCGTTTTTAAAAGCATTTAATACTATCTCTTCATATTCGATGTAATATATTTTAGCAATACAAAATACAATGTTTAGAAGGAAACAAAGTGTCGGTCCAATGCTAAAGCACGCATACGTGCATGCATGCGTACATATATGTGTGATTGTTCTATAATTAATCCTCACATGTTGCAAGAGTACAAGAAGATCGCTCGTGGAATGTGACAGAGACATAGAATGCATTTTGTCGTATATATACATACAGCATATTCCAAATCATTGTATTTTCTTTTAATGAAAGGCTAAATAAAGCTAAATAAAACAAAAATCTTCAATTTTTACAGATATATATGGTTTGATCGTTTATAATAATTGTCGCATTAAGCCATAGATATATTATATATAGATAGAGCTTTATCTATATTACTGTCTGTCGAAATAATAAGATACTTTCTTCCCTCGCGCATGTGCAATCGCGCATTCCTCCCGACGGCCAAGAAAATAACCTATTGCTAACGAGAAAATAACCTCTTTTATTTTATGTAGAAAATACTGTGTTTAATAAAAATACAATACATTTAATATCTCGCACTTGTTAATTCTTAAACTTTTTAAAATTTTAATGCAAATTCCAAGTCTTTACAAACGATGTGCGTCCGCCGAGAGAAACGTACGAATGCGCAAGCGCATGCGCAAGGGAGGAAAATCTGCTATTTATCTTGGCAGACGCGGTTCTAAGGTGAAGATGACACAAAGCTCTATCTATATATAATATATCTATGAGCTAAATCATTCATATTATGCACTTTCAATTGTTCGTATTTGAATGATTACCTTATTTATAGATTACTTTTGTATTATCGTGCGATGTTAATGGTTAAAAATATAGAACTCATAAAAATAAAGAAATCATAAAAAATACTAGAACAAAATCTACAATGTAGCATGTAATTGTATATAATTGTACGTAATTATATATATTCGTTGTCTCTGTAGATTAGTAATATTAAAATATTTACTACCAACCTCAAAAGACAAATAAAAGTCACGAACTATTTATGTCAACACAATAAATGCACACTCGAAAAAGTTGCGCCTATTATACATTATATTATTTAAATTTATACATGTTTTTAATAATACTTTGGATTATTTGGGTATTTTTTATCTGTCCTCTGAATAATTCTCTAAATAATCTTATCATTCCTCTATAAATAATCAGATAAAAAAATCGTATCAGGAACGCACTGAATTATATAAAAATAAAAAAGGCGCGGCAAAAGCTATCCATGTACTTAGCAGAAATGAAAGAAAATAAAATTTATAATAAGCAAGGCGTATATATATAATTCTGTAATATTACATTCTGAGAGTTCATATAATTCACTTTCGATCATATATAGATACGCAGATACTGTATAATCATTATTCTCAATTGTCTTTTTAATAGCTGGACTCACCGCGAATTTTTTTTGTGCTGTCCAGGACGATGACGATATTACCTGTCACGGTTTGCCCCGAGTAATACGTACTCCATTGATTGTCGAATACTATCCGGAAGTCCTTGAGACCCATGTTGATCGATTTGCCTCAAATTTTCGATTCGGTCGTTCCTCTTTCTGGATGACACCTCTCGATTACTCCATTTTGCGTTGTGTATTCACCGATGATGATTTAACACGTTGTACCAACTTGTGTTGCGCCGCTCGCGTCGCTCGCGCTATATCGAGCTACTCGTGGGAGTCAGACACGTTGGTATACCATCCGGCTCGCGCAGGCGACGAGTGAGTGACGTGGTCGGCATCAACATCGCGGTCAACAGGGCCGTCTTTATTCTGAAATGCGCAGGCAACCTGACAGGGCACGAGACTGTTTGAGACAACAATGCAAAATTTAATTTCCTATTCCAAAAACTTGGGTGTACAACGACCTGCTTAATTTTATTATTTTTAACAGTTTAAACAAAGCAATTTATATTCATTTTAATTCATATATTATATGCATATTATATATATTTATTTAAAAAATATTATTTATTTATATACTTGCAAAGGCATTAGTTATTTCAATCAAGTAGCAAATATATTTAAATTAATAAAATATAAGATAAAAGCAAAGTATGCTTTTATTTGCAAATAAAAAAAAAATTGTTTTCTTTTATCAAGTGACGCGGTAGCGTCGCGACGCTAAGTACATAAAAAAATATTTACTGGTCTTTATTATACTAAGCTCTTTTTTAAAAAACAATTTTTAATTTTTGGCTGCTTGTTTCAAAAACACAGGTTTTCTTTATTTATTTAATATAAGAAAATATTTTTCGAAACAAAGTATATATTTATTTAAGTAAAAAAATTAAAATTAGCAAAATGTATTTACTTGATTTAAAAAATTTCCTTCTTATATTTGATTCAAAATAACATCTCGTTTAATTTAGATTTAAAATTGGTTATAAAATCAAATTTAAAGTGTCGTCTCTCTTTGGTCATATTGCGCAATGCCAACGAGGAAGAGCTATCGATTCATGTCAGATGCAATGCAATTTGCGCGTCAAAAGATAAATAAATTAGAAATGCATAAATTAATTAGTAGATCGCAGTTTGTATTTAATATTGTACTCTCTCTGTGTATCTATTTGTACAGGGTGTTTCAAAAGTGGAAGTCAATCACTCCGGAGATGATTATGGACCCAAAAATAAGAAAACAAGTTGGTATGAATATAGGTCCGGAAATGCGTTTTTTTCGAGTTGTCGCCATTTTTATGTTGGAATTTTAATCTCCTTTCAATTTTGACAAAAAAATTCGAAAGCAAAGCAATTTGAAATTTTAACACAAAAATGGCGATAACTCGAAAGCAATATTTCCGGACTTATTTCATACCAATTTTTTTCTTGTTTTTGGGTCTCCAATCACCTCCCGAACGATTGATCACTTTTGAAACACCCTGTATATTTGCTTCATTTAAAAAGCATTCACTATTATACGCGTTTCTACTCATTTAAATTCTTAGCTCATTGATGCATTGTTATAATTTGCATGAAATTAGCAACCTGTTGAGAGACAATCGCAGTTGTTACCAGAAACGGCACAATTTATTAACAGACCAATAAATCGGCAATAATATGGGAAATTCACTTCATCATCAAATTTCGAACTTGTTAGTGCAATTGCTCGAGAATTTATCATTAATAGATGATCATTATCGTAATTTCGTGAATGTTCGGAATAACAAGAATAGCGATACATGAAATAACAGGTCCATATTGTATATATCTCATCGGAATTTACTTTAGCATTACATATATGTCGTCCGGCATATTTTCGAAATTGGATCTAAAATGCGAACGTGTCACGATAAAAACGCGATGTCACGTCCATGCCAACCGTTGAACATCATAGAAATGATCATTATCGTAATTTCGCGAATGTTCGGAATAACAAGAATAGCGATACATGAAATAACAGATCCATATTGTATATATCTCATCGGAATTTACTTTAGCATTACATATATGTCGTCCGATTATTTATCAAAATAAGGAAAATTTGTGTTTTTAAAATAAGCAGCCAAACAAAAAAATGTTTTTTTTTAAAGAAAGTAATTTAGTATAATAAAGATATGAAAATAATTTTTTTTATTTGCAAATAAAAGCATACTTTTTGCTTTCATTTTATATATATTTTATTAATTCAAATATATTTGTTATTTGATTGAAACAACTAATTTCTTTGTAAGTATTTAAATAAATAATTTTTCTAAATTTAAAAATATTTTCTGAATATATTACCTTTTTTTACAGTGTAAGAAAAGAATCTTTTCTAAAATTGAGGATGGAGTTTAGCGAAGATCGGGATTCGTAATTACTTGTATATCGATTTGTAAACTGATCTGTCAAATCTCAGGTGGTGCGTCAGCCGGCTTTCGCGGATTGCATGGCTTACGGGTCACCCCCGCGGGATCACCCTATTACATCTCACGGACCGTCGCATTCTTCTGGTGACGCCGTCGGTGGTTTCCTCAACCGTCAGTGGCGGCATCGTCACATCCTCTCCGCGCAAGCTCCGCTTTACTAGGGAGGGCTATTGATCCGCTCCGCGCACATTTCGGCCGACGATCGGAAGGTAGAGTGCCGCGGACGACGGGCCGCACGTCGCCCGTAAATATTCGTTCGGTGCATTGTGATCCCGGATCTAAGGGCGGATAAAAAAGGCATCCCTTTAGCGCTCAGGTAGCAGCGTGGCCGAAGATGGTCGGTGGAGTGACGGAGGGTGGACCCCTCATTCGACCTGTCGAGCCCGGTAAGTATCGCCGGACGTTTCCCGTCCCTTCTGGAATCACTTATCGGATCTGATATCTTCATCCGTTTGTTCATTGTACGAGATCGATTAAAATTCTTCATCCACCACCCGCGACACAATATCTAACGACGACAGCTCGTTCAGAATGGAGGACGCCGACAGCTGTTAGTTCCTGTCCCTTGATCGCAACTGCGTAATTCCTTGGTGAATCACGCGATGATCATATAATTCCTCCGATACTGTAATAAAATTGAATCCGACATGTTTCGACTATGATACTCGTCGATTTAATATAGTAATTTCGATTGCACAATTCCATCGTGGAAAATGCTGGAAAGTTTAATGGAGCACACATATCTATCAATATTGACTAACCCGACTATACAAATCCGCGGAATATCGGGGCAATTAACGCGTGTTATGTCACGCGATGCATTCAAGCGGGTTATAATAATTGATCATTTTGTTTTATACTTTACACGTTTACATAATATGTTGGGATACGTCGTGAAATTAATGAGAAACTCGCGTCATCGAGAAAGATAGAAAAATGTAAAAGAATTCCGATTGTCTTCTTAATGTGTGTTTCATATTTCCATCATGTCGCGCGAAGTCTCATTTTTTTAGGATAGTTGCAATTAAAGATGTAAATAAAAAAAAAAAAACAACAAACTTTGTTCTTTTTCAAAATTTTGGTTTTTTTCAGATATTTAATATCTTTATATTTTGATTACTATAAATTGATTTTTCATTATTTTTAACCTTTTATATTTTTTTTACATTTGAATTAACCATTATTATTTTAAATGTAGTTTGCGTTCCAACTAGCTATAATGTAATTATTATATAGTTATGTAATTATTCTCTATTTTTAATTAATAAAAATTTTTGTTATTTATCTAATTGAAAATTATCCGAATTATGTCGAGTTTGATGTAATTTGCCGCAAAAGTATCATTAATTCTATTAGAAAAAAACACGGTTTTTTTACATCTCTAGTTGCAATAATATTTAACATAATTGATTCTCTCTCTCTCTCTCTCTCTCTCTCGCTCTCTCTTTCTCGCTCTCGCTCTCTCGCTCTATCCCTCTTATTGTCGTCATGCGACATCACGTGATGCTGCGTTGTAGTAATAAATCTCTCATGCAATTACGAGAAACGGTGAAATCAAAGAGCGTGTGATTACAGTCTCGACGGCGACGCTGGTGACGCTATGTCTCGGCGCCGCTTTCTTATTATGCGCCGTCGCGATGACCTGGTGGCTCTGTCGACGGCGTCGCGAACACACCAAGCTAAGCTCCGACAAGTCCCTGGCGTTCAGACCGCCGCACCGGAAGCCGACAGCGGTTAAGAGTCCCGGTAGCACGAGTCACTATTTGAAAAAAAGCCCATCGCCGACGGGACCGGCCAAGAGTCCGCCCGGCTCCGGCGGACAAACGCCGAGTCCGACCGGATCTCAGTCCTCGAATCCCGCATCTCAACCCAGAACGCCGCAGGGCGCAGGTAACATCCGTAATGAGATAATAATAAAATAATTAATTAGTCACGGTGTGTTAGAGATTAAAAAGGTAACAAAGACACAGAAACTTTGGGTAAAAAACTCGGTAAAAAATTATTTTTACTCCCTCAAAAATAGGTTTTTTACTCTATTAATTACTCAAAATGTCCATTTTCAAAAATTTATAGCGAAAATCTAATTTTGATGTTTATTTATTAACTTTTGATGCACGGCTTTGAAAAATGAGCATCAAATTTACTAAAATTAGGTATCAAATTTCATGTCCTGTGTTATTTTTACTTCTGGTCCACAAAATAATAAAAATAGCAAGTATAACTATGCTTGAGAGAGTTTTCTTCTAACTTTTATGAAACTTTAAAAATAAAGAACATCAAAAAATATCATTAAATTATAAAAATCAAAATTAATCTGTTTTAAAATATTCGAATTCAATTGATTAAACAAGTGCGAAGTAATAATCAGCTCAGCCACATTCATTGAAATTAATTACTGACCCAGTAAATAAAATTAATGTAATTTCCATACCATCTTTTGTTCAAAGAAAACTGGCACTATCTTTCAAAATTACTAAAAAACAGTTTTTTACCCAAAAATACCAGTTTTTTACTTAGTTTCTTCCGCCATTTTTAAAATACTCGGTTTTTTTAATCTTTACGATGTGTTACATTGTTGGAAAATTTTTGGCTTCTTATTAAAAAATATGCCGGTTCAAATTTTGGTGTTAAATATTTAACACATTAATGCGTTAATTTAACATATTGCTGTTGTATTAATTAAACTCAAATGTTAAATTAATAAAACGAGAAAATTAATAAAACTAACAAAAGTGTAAAAATAACACATATGTACACATATTTCTAATTTTACACAATAGATGTGTTCCGTATTATTAGGACAGTATTGACAGGATTTATCTGTTAAAATTTACAGAAAAAAATATTTATTTTATTCTATAATAGGAGTAAGAATGGCTATAGACTGTCAATAACATTTTTTCAAGTTAATTTTATCATTAAAAATATGTTGATTTTACACAAAATTAATTTTAAATTACTATGAAGTTTATTTTGTGTTGAAATATTAACATAGTATTAGTGTCACGATTTAATATATCCATATTAAGTATATTAAATTAACACAAAAATTTGTGTGGACCGTTTGAGACATGCGATATATGTCAAATTTAAGCCAAATTTTTTAACAGTGTAACAAACGATACTGAACGCCATTTCGTTTCCAAAATGAATATCTGCTCCTGTGGAGACACCAGTGTCATATTCTCTGTTTCTCACTCCTTTTTTCGGTGTGTGTGAATTACCTTTCTCATTTATATTCTTCTCTTTAATTGTCAAAATAAGAGCTCTTCGAAAACTTAATCGTATTATGAAAATGATACTATTTTAATCTTCTTGTGTGTATTGTTGGATAATAAAAATAGATTATCTCTATGAGCCTAATGTATCATATCTTTTTTTGCATTATTATGAATTATTTTTTATTTTGATCTTTCTTCAAATCTCTTTTTCTTTCTATCAAGTAATATAAATATTTGAATCATAAATCCTACTTACAATTTAGAATCATGACGAAATGATAGATCAACTACTCGAAGATTTTTTAAATATATACAAGAGCTTTAATTTAAAGCTCTTTGAGGCCCCTAAAATAAAGCCATTCTTATCATTAGATTCAAGACTTTTTATCGTTGCGTATAATATTGAGCCATTATACGCAATTGCAATCTTATTTCTCTTATCTTTCTATATAGATGCAGGAATTGTACAAGTATAAAAATTAATATCTTTAAATTATAAATCCTGTCTTTTAAAATAATTCCTGTCTCCTTTTTTTTCTCAATGCTTTACTTAACTATTATTTATATTTCTTGGATCTAAAAAAAAACTGTAACTTTAACATTTTTCAATTTCTTACGTAGCTCTTACAATTTATTCCATTTTATTTTACTTTGAGCAATATATAACTATAGAGCAATATCCTTGCAATAATGATATAGGTACGCCGGTACAGACACCGCCCGTCGAAGTTACTGTAAGTATAGAGAATGAGCGCGACAAGGCTGAGCTGGAAAATAACGAAAAGGTTGAGCGTGAGAAGAGTCAAACAGCGGAAAATAACAAGGATAATTTGGGCCAGCTGGTCTTCAAGCTGCGATATCGAAGCGAACAGAACACGCTTGCGGTGACGGTGGTGAAATGCAAAGGGCTGCCCGCCAGGGGCCAGCAGAACGCAACCAGTGATCCTTATGTCAAGCTGCAATTGCTGCCCGACAAACAGCATCATGTAAAAACTAGAGTCCTCAGAAACACTAGAGATCCGGTGTATGATGAGGATTTTACGTTTTTCGGCATATCACAGAGTCAACTTCAGGTAGAATTACGATACACTTGGATTTTGTTCAAACCGCCTTTCTCGCGAGTATCAATTTCTACACCGGAAAAAATGCAATAAATACAAAATTTTTTTTTTTTTTTGGAGAACTATTTATTTAAATACTTGCAAAAAAATTAGTTATTTTAATCAAGCAACAAATATAAGAATTTGTTTTTTATCTTTATTACACTAAATCATCTTCTTTAAAAAAACAATTTTTTAATTTTTAGCTACTTTCCACATGTTTCAAAAACACAAAGTTTCCTTTATTTTAATAAATAATTTTTTATCTTCAAATATGTATAAATATTTCTTTATATTAAAATTTTAAATAATGTATTTTAAAAATTATAATTTTTAATACATACAAGTAATAATTTATTTAACATAACAAAACATTTTTGGAAACAAAGTATATATTTATTAAAAGTCTATATCTATAAGTGAAAAAAAATCAAAATTAACAAAATGTGTATATCTATTTAATCGAAAAAATTTTATTTTTAGTGTAATTAAGATGATTATAACAAATTTGTTTCTTAAAAAAAGGATAACCTATTTGACGATTGTGATTCCAGAAAATTAGCTTACACTTCATCGTGTTGAGTTTCGATAGATACTCTCGCGACGATATTATCGGAGAACTGACATGTGCTTTGTCATCAGTGCCCGGTTTAGAAGACGCGGATAATCAGGAGATATCTCTCTGTCGAAAAATATGCCCTAGAAGTTTGAAGGTAAATATCTCGAAAACTTTCTAAAAATAAACACATAACGTATAATATTTATATGATGTAATATATCTTACAAAAGAAATCAGCAGATTTTCTTATAAACTTTCTTGGCTATTTTCCTTTATTCAAGTAAAATTCGTTCTTGTCTAAAAAACTCGAAACTTGTCTAAAAAATATAATTATAAAGATCATAATTTTTAATATAATTATACGCTTAATTTACCTTCAATTCTGTCGTTATCTCTTTTCTCCCGACATTTAATTTATTACTAAAGTTTCTTATTTTTAATCATTAATTATCCGAAAAGCTGCCTCAATATTTTCATTGAAGAAAAATAGATTCTCTGTCGATCAAAAGCTTTTTATGGAAAAGAATATTTAAGAACAGGATGGGACACCGTCTATAGATGAATACTATGATAAATACTGCTTTACATGCAAATACTTTTTCTTTTCTCTTCCCTTACTTTTTTTTTTAGATACAGTCGCAAGGAAGAGGAGAATTGCTGGTCTCGCTTTGCTGGCAGCCAGTCACTAGCCGCCTAACAGTAGTGGTGTTAAAAGCGCGAAATCTACCCAAGATGGACGTGACCGGACTCGCTGATCCGTACGTGAAGATTTACCTTCTGTACAATCAGCAACGTATCGCCAAGAAGAAGACGCACGTGAAGAAACGTACGCTCAGTCCGGTGTTCAATGAATCCTTCGTCTTCGATATACCGAATGGCGCGGACGGACTCAACAACGTCAGCCTCGAGTTCATGCTACTGGACTGGGATCGAGTTACGAAAAACGAGGTAAATTTCACGTTTCTGTCATTCAAGACGTGATATTTTGTTCGCTCCATTATTGATTGGATTGATGTATGTTTTTTGTATTTTTCTTTCTCTCTTATAAAACCATATTTGCAGAGTATTCCAAAATCAGCAAATATGCTATTTAATAAATCCTGATGCAGATGATTTACAATTGATCCTCTTTTTTCTAGCAAAAATATCAAAGTACATCTGCTGTTTTTAAATAATTAATTTTTAGAAACCCAGTTGTGTGAGATATTTGACAAATTAAATTTTAGAAAAGAAAACAGATAAAAATCATATTTTGCATATTTCGTATTAAATAAATATTATTTTAATAAAATTTTTACTTAAAGTCTTGTTAAGAGAACTTGCAATTTTAATAATTAAGAAAAATTTAATAAATCATAATATCCCTTAAAATTAAACCAAAAAATTATAATTAAAATAATATCCGATATTTTTACTTGAAACACTGGCTAACTTTATTATTTTTCTTATTTGTTTAGCTTTATAGAATTACAAATATTAATTTTGTGTGTGTTGTGCATGAAAAGATAGCATAAAATCATTTAAATTTGATGTTTTTTGGAATGAAGCGTTCTTATCACTTTTATCATTGAGATAAGCTGTTAATCACGACGGATGAACCGTAAAAAAAATATGACTTGTCTAGGTAATCGGGCGGCTAGAGTTTGGTGGACCAAAATGTCAAGGTTCCGCTGTGAACCATTGGAAGGAGGTATGTAGCTCACCGCGACGACAGATAGCCGATTGGCACAAACTGCGGGAGTAACCGGTCTCTCTCCTGGCCCTATATACGTATCGAGCTCGAGCTCCCACATCTCCGATTTCCTTAGAAACTCCATATCCTTCGCTATGAAATCACTGATCCGACCCCTTGAAACCCTACAAGATAAGGTAGGGATGTCTGTTTTGTAAACCTAATACTCAATGTATATTAGGCTTGAAATGAATAGCTCGTCCACCCATAATCGCTATCATCGAGAGAGATTTTCGAATCCGTAAATGAAAATGGTAATCACAATGTTTATAGTAAATAAATTTAAAAAAGTTAAAACATACGATATCTCCCTTAATTCATTAAAGATCACAATAATAATATAAAAAATTTTACACTTTTTGTTTACATAAAGGATCTCAGAGATTAATATCAGGATTATTAAATATTTAAAAATTTAAATATCGATTTGAAATTATAAATATTTTTTATATATTGTTTAAATATTGTTTGGAAATTAAATATCGAAAAATTTAAAGAAATATTAATTAACCCTAAAATTTTTATATGTTCTGTTGGTATAATCATACACGCGATTACGGGATGACGGCTTTCGCAGAATGCTTTACAATATAAACATAGACATTAAGATTCCCGACCAGTTGATTAACGAGACTATGGAAAAGAAATGTTGATGCGTGCGAAGCGGTCAACCTTTCGATTCCTAGATATTGTGTCATATAGGTAAATATGAAGCAAATAAACCCTTATCTTCTACAGCGAATTCGAATAGAATACACAATAGTGTATATCTAAAAAAAAATGGTCTTGCATAGAGTGACATAAAAACGTGAGTATAGCGTAAAATCGGTTCACTAACGAAATGCTCAGAATTTACGCTAGATCATTTCAATGATCGGGACGCTTTCGTGCAATGCTTCTGCATCATGATAAATTTTATGTAACAATGGCTTTAAAAATATACACCAGTGAGCGCATTTGACCGAATTCGCTATTAATTTGCTCCATTTTATTTACATGATTAATCGTATTTCACAAGACCGCAGAGCAACGTATCACGTTAAAGACACAGTGTATATTTTACGCAGCATTTTGGCATAACCATAGATTCTCGGTCCTAAAAGAGAATAATGAAAGAGGCCTCCCTCTTCCACTCCATATTTGCAAAGCTAGAAAAAAAGATTTAAATAAAGATCTGTACATTTTAACTTGTATAGACATTTATGTGCGCACGCAAAAGAGAAATTATATTTTTGTTTAACATTATTATATTTTCTTTTTTCTTTTTGTGAGTTGCTAATATTGCGAGTCCTCGAAACACGTTGCTTATCCGCACTACATCTAAAACGACGAAAATAATGATTTTTCTTAATTTTTTTTTTTCTAGAAACACGGTCTTTTAAAATAAGATTTCTTTATTCAAAAACATATATATTCTAGATTATATATATTCTTGACTTTTTTTACTGAAAAACCATTATCTCTGTTATTTCAATAAATCTCAACTTAAAATTTTGAGAATATTTTTAAAATATCAAAAATGAAAAAGAAAATATATAAAACATCAAGAATCGATTTACCGACCTGCCTATGCGTACCTCCGTAATAATATAAAAAATTATGCCCCTACTTTCAAAACACTATGTTGAAGTTAAGTGTTTATCTTGTTAAATGCAAACTGCGAGCGAATACATCATTATCTCTGAGAGACCAGCGAAAGTTCAAGGCTCGTATTTTCACCGAATCTATCGCTAAATACGACAGTCTGATTTTTAAGTTTTCGCTTATACATTACGTAGAAAGTTTCCGTATATGTGTAATACACCATACACAATAAGAATACTTGAAGATTGAATTCTTTTGTTCATAATTATTTTTCTATTAATAATTTATAGTAAAGCGAAATAAACGAACACAGTTGAAAAATTTGACTTAAATTTAACATATATTACAAACGGTCCATACAAATTTTTATGTTAATTTAACATAATATGAATATGTTTATTGATGACAATAATACTATGTTAATATATTTCAACACAAAATTAATGCAAATTTCAGAGTAATTTGAAATAAATTTTGTATAAAATCAACATATTTTAATGATAAAAATAACAAAGTTAAAATTTAACAGAATTATTGACGGTCTGTAGTCAAACTTTCACTTCTATTATACATAGAATAAAATCAACATTTTTTCCTGTAAATTTTAACAGATAAATCCTGTCACTAATAATACGGAATATAATTATTGGGTAAGATTAAAAATATGTGCATATTGTGTTATTTTTATATTTTTCTTTTTAATTTTTTTAATAATTTAATATTTAAGTTCAATTAACACAACAGTAATGTGTTAAATAAACACATGAATGTGTTAAATATTTAACACAAAAATTTTAACCGGCATATTTTTTAACAAGAAAACATAAATTTTCCAACTGTGAATAGTGTGTGCGTTTACATTATGTAACATACTGTCGTAGCAAACCTTAGAAAATTGTGGAATCGAACAAATCAAGAAATTACAATATTTCGGCGAATATACCAAGACAAGCCTTGGATTTTGAGTTATTTTGTTCATAATTGCCTTTCTATTCTTGTGACGAAACGATAATAAACGAGAATCGAGTACTTTGCTTTTAAGAGTAGCTGGACTACGAATATAGTCTCAGCCCGCATCGCGATTGTACATATATATAACGAAACGCGAAAGTGATGAGTTGACGGCGAGGGAAAATTTAATGTAAACATGGAATCATTAATGCCTTAATATGTAAATTTATGCGCGGCATATATA